TCTCCTGTTAAATATTTAACATTTTAATGGATTTCTTAAAAATCTATTCGACTAAAAAATATTTAACAGTCCTCCATGGAGGGTGTTAAACAAGGAACAGTTTTTTTTCCCTCGATGCCGTTTTTTATTTAAATTATTCCCTTTAAACCCGGCTAAACGGATGAAAATTTGCCCCATTTGTAATTTATCATGGTATAAAGAAAATAATTGCTGAGGCAGATAGTTTATAGTCTTCAAACAAGTTATTCGACTGTTAATATTTAACAGCCCCACTTCCACTAAAAATCTTTGCTAAAATGAGTAGTTTATAGCTGGGTTTTTGTTACAAGGTAAAATATAAAATGATTCCATAGAACCTTCATAAATATCCCCAGGAAAATCAGAACTGATGGATATCCCCGACGAAACTTTTTCGGGTTAAATTCTGTCTTGGCTCATATGTGGAAAAGTAACGAACAATCCAATTCGACACAAATACAAGGATACGGGTCTCCTACTAACTGTTTATAGTATCTGGTAGGTTTTGAATCAACCTGTCATTAGAGGGAGGACACTACAAAAATAATATATATATATATATATATATATATATAATTATATATATATATATATACTTTAAACGTTATTTTTATCCTTTATTTTTATTTTATTTTATTAAACAGTGAAATTAATGTCAACCACACACACTAAATTTAGAAATTTAAATTATTATTAAAGATTTTATAAATATATATACAAGAATCGAAAAAGTCAAACATATTTGGCTTCAGGTAAACCATTTTTTAAGACAAAAAGTGTTACTTGCAGTTTATCCACAGAGCACTTAATGAGGGATTTTATTTGAAACCAGATTTCAGAAACCAAGATGGATCTATTAAAAATCTTTCCAAACCTATGGAAAAATAGCTTTTGGTTTCGTCTGTAAACGTAAACGACATAATTTTGCTTTCTTTTATTTATATTAATACTTATTTTGTGATATCAACGAACAATCGTTGCCACTTTTGTAATGTTAACAAATACTCGTTTTAAATTTTGTAATGCTCGTTGTAGTAGAGACTTTGTAATCGCAGATACACCTATAGTAACGCCGTTGAACAATGCTGGTGTCAGACGCCTTCGAATATCACTCGCGCTAATAGTACTTGCTCGATAATACTCGCTCAAAAAGTAACCACCGTATAGTGATCTGAATAGAGATATAGTATAGTGAATAGAGTAGAGAATAGCGCTCCATATAGTAATAGAGGACAGAGTAGAAATAGCGATCATTTAAACGTCACGAAAGTGACAACGACTATTCGTTGACATTAAAAAAAACTGGCAACGTCTTTTCGTTGACATCACAAAAGAAATGTTTTAACAGAGGATGGGAAATGTCTGGCAATGTTTTTTTTATTTTGTGTGTCTTCTGTTTAACTTTTTTTTTTTTACAGTTTCCAACGGTGTGTTCCCACCATTCAATCGGCTGTTAGGGAGGTTGGTTAGCTGTGCCATGTCATACAATTTTCCTCGCCAAAATTCTTCTTGCACGTTTATAAATTACCATTTTTAATCCATTACCCTTCCTTATTTATTTGGTCTGGTGAATCTGTTATATCTGACGACATCCCCGACAATATCGAAAGAATTTTACACAATGGTAACGGTTTATTTGGCATCTTGACTTCAGATATATTCCCATTTGGGAAAAAAATAGAGATTTTTTCTTCGATTTTACAATATTTCACTTCGTTGAACAATACTTATGTGTCAGACGCCTTCGAATCTGTTTGAATAGTTTTTGCTTTTATACTCGCTCGAATAGTAGCCACCGAATAGTGATCTGAATAGAAAATTAGCATTGTGAATATTTTTAGAGAATAGCGTTCCAAATAGTAATAGGGGATAGAAGGTTAGAAATAGCGATCCAAATAGTAATAAAAGATAGAATAAGAATAACGATCGTTTATTTTCTTTCACGTTTCCCTACTTATTTGATCGTTTATATGGTCACGTGGTCTACTTATTCAATAATGGGATCGCCTGTTTAGCACTCCCATGGCGATCTATGTTCAAACTCCAGTGTCGGCAGGGACAGTTTATTTCTTTATAACACATTCTTATGTTAAACTTAAGTGCTCCGCTACGAATTTTACCACGGTGACCGGCCCGTATTCGAATATACACAATAAAAAATAAGCAAATCTCGACAATCGCTGTTGTAGACATCTGCTGAGGTTTATACTTCAACTATATTGAGCAGACACGTTACAGTTTCTGGGAGATAAGGCATCATTTGGCGTGACCAAAATCTTGGACAAGACTCGCGCATTCAAACTCCCAAACACAATGAATTGTGACTTCGTTTCAACACAACAGACGACTAACGATTCTACACAAATTCGCCATGTTTATCTTTTTTCAACTTGTGCTATAGTTTTTTCAGTTATTAATATATTGTTTACGTTATTGGTTGCCTCCACTGGATGATAAATCACAGTTATTTTCGTTTTATCAAGTTGAGATTTCGAACCCAGGTTTCATGGAACCTATATAATATAACATATTTATGCAAAAGTCAATTATTATAATTAAATAAAACGGCCATATTCTCGACGTTTAGCCATATTTTTGTCAACGCCCCGACCTTTCAGTAACTGTGTATAATTTTGATGAGGCATTGTAATTTTTTACATTATTTACATTATTTCGAATTGTTGTCCTTATGTTGGTTGCCATATTCACGACGTTTCGGCCGTTCGACCTTTTAAGGAACTGTCTATATTTCTGAGATGAGAAATATAAATTTTTAAACTATTTACATCTTTCGGAATTGTTTAAAAAATGTTGGTTGCATAACGACGTTTTTTATGTGCGCGCCGACCTTTTTGAAGGAACTGTCTATATTTCTGAGATGAGGCATTGTAATTATTTACACTATATGCATTTTTTCGGGCTGTTTTCCTCATCTTAGTTGCCATATTCACGATTTTTCGGCCATTGCACAATCCAGCCTTCCTCAGGACCTGTCTATATTTTTGAGATGAGGCATTGTAATTATTTACGCTATTTACATTTTTCGGATTGTTGTCCTCATCTTCGTTGCCATATTCAGGACGTTTCATAAAATAACCAACCCTCGAGAAAAAATTAAAATTAAAAAAAATCTTTACGCTATTTACATTTTTAGGTAGAAAAAAACACATCTTTCTTGTAACTGTTATATTCCTTAAGATCTATAAGAACGAATCTTTTATCCGTCACATAACTTTTATTACCATATTTTTATAATGGTTTTACTTTATTATTAGTTATTGTTGTTAATCTATTTATTGTGCCTAATAAGATCTACGGTAGGAACGAATCTTCTATCCGTCACATAACTTTTATGACAGCCTGTTAAGAATAGTATGAATTCACGTCTTTTTCATCCAGCTATGAATGAATTATTTATAACTGTATTACTAAATCTTTACTAACACCCCAAAAATATATCTGGCTTTAAATAACCTAGAATGTGTTGATAAGCCGTAGAAAACGAATCAATGGATCAATCAAACACTATGTTGTCTATCTGTTGGACTTTATTATTAATTATTAATATTTTGCATAAACTATCCATACAATACTGGATGAGATCTTGTAATAAATCAAAAAGAAGTATAGAAGAGTGAATTGCAATTCTAAGCCTTTTTGGGAGAGAAAACTGAGATTAAAAGGATTAACATTAATAACAACAAAAGTAAATTTTTTTTCATTGCGTACGTGCCATCATAACATCTTAAAATTTCCTTTCAAATACGACACGAGACAGTACTTGGCAGTAATACCGATTCAGATGTTTGGTATAACTCTGATTTTCCGGGACCATGAAACTCAGATTTTTAGTAAATAGTGTCAGGTTTTATGTATATTTTTTAATATATTAAATAGTTTTGTTTTATTGCAACATCTTAGGGTATATATATATATATATATATATATATATATATATATATATATATATATATATATATATATATTTATGCAAATATTTGATATAGATCCGATAGTATGAATAAAAATTTTTATATCAATTATGTTTGTTTTATGTTATATATTTCAACGTCGAATATTTTCGGTTTATTAAACCATCTTCAGGACATATTCATGTCATGTTGAATTGATAATGTTAATTATATTTTTTATGAATATGTCCTGAAGAGGTTTTTATTAGACTGAAATGTCTGACGTTGACATATCAACATTAAAAGAGCATAATTGTATATAAGGATTTTTGTTTGTTTTTTCCGTATGTATTTTTCTTCATATATATGTTTGTATTTTTAGACGAACGCTTTCTCTTGCATTTACCTATATTTATCCATTTGATTATTATTGTGACCTCTTTAGGGGCCAGAAAGGAAGACACGGAAGACGAAGGTCGGTTGAAAAATTGAAGATATATACAAAACAATAGAGTTAGTAATAAGTAGATTAGTACTGCGTTTTCTATCCACTCCACTTTCATTTTTTATATATCCGTCCGACTCTTGCAGTCTGTATTTATGAGAGAAGGAAGAGTTCATTATACTGTAAGAGGGTTTACCACAACAATTATATATATATATATATGTGTGTGTGTGTGTGTGTGTGTGTGTGTTTCATTAAATAATATGGATTATTTTTGTACTGATCCTTTCCAATGGTCTAATCAAGAATTTTGAAGTGAAGATGAAATTCACCAAAAAAATCGCCAGATTTACTAATCCAAATACTTTCTTTTTTTTTTCAACATTCAATATTTTAGGATATATTTAAATACAAATTTATTATAACTGTTATAAAATGCATATATAATCTATACATTATTTAATGAAATAGGTTTGAATGTGGATATTCTGCCTATATATATATATATATATATATATATATATATATATATATATATATATATATATATATATATATATACGTGAATACAGTTCAAACGTTTGAAGCCACCTCTGGTAATTTTCTATAAATGGTTCCAAACGTAGTTGTTTTGTAGAAATACGACAATCACGTACACACACCACAACTTTATCTATCTATCTATCTATCTACCTATCTATCTATCTATCTATCTATCTTTTTAGAAGATTTATTATGACAAAAAGAAAGAAAAGGCATTTTATGTTAAATTTTTTCTCTCGTCAAAATATCCTCCTATAGCCTTGATGACTGCGGCACAATGTTTTGGCATTCGTTGCAAAATTTTCTCAAAGTATAAGTTGGATAAACGATTCCATTCCTTTTTCCAATAACTCTAAGAACTCTTTAAGATACTTTTTTCACATTTCAGTTCATCTTATGCTAATTCTGTGGTAGATAGATAGATAGATAGATAGATAGATAGATAGATAGATAGATAGATAGATAATGAACCAAATGAGATAGATTGATAGATAATGAACCGAATGAGATAGATAGATAGATAGATAGATAGATAGATAGATAAATAAATGAACAGAATGAGATAGATAGATAAATAAATGAACAGAATGAGATAGATAGATAAATAAATGATCAGAATGAGATAGACTGATCGATCGAGCGATCTATAGGTAGATAGATAGATAGATAATGAACAGAAGGAGATATATTGATAGATAGATAATGAAAAGAATGAGATAGATAGATAGATAGATAGATAGATAGATAATGAACAGAATGAGATAGATAGATAGATAGATAGATAATGAACAGAATGAGATAGATAGATAGATAGATAATGAAAAGAATGAGATAGATAGATAGATAGATAGATAGATAGATAGATAGATAATGAACAGAATGAGATAGATAGATAGATAGATAGATAATGAACAGAAGGAGATATATTGGTAGATAGATAATGAACTGTATGTGATCGATAATGAACTGAATGTGTCAGATTGATCGATCGATCGATCTATCGAGAGATAGATAGATAGATAGATAGATAGATAGATAGATAGGCAGAGTTGTGGTGTGTGTAGGTGATTGTCTTATATCTCATTTCCCAACCCAATTTTGCTTCATATATGATATAGAGAGTGTGTCTAGGGACCGTTCCGATGAACCTACTCGACTTCAACCCTAAAACTTAATATTCATCTTTTAATATACTGAGTGATTTCTGAAGCAAAATATTGCAGATGCTGCAGTTGTCAAGTGCATATTATTTGATTGCAAATGCAATGTGCGTAAAGAATGGTCAGGGTTTATGATGCAGTCGAGTCCGCGAGCGACCAATATCGTAACAAGCATTTACGCCCCGTAGTAACTTGAGGCGAGCTGAAGACGAGACTCTGCCTCGGCAGAACAATATCTAAATATAAACCACAAGGTAATGGCCGCTCTATTCCAGTGTATCAATTTCTGTTGCGCTCGTCAAAGTGCTTAGTGATAGCAAATTAATATCGTTCGTGTATTGACAGTTTTACAACTTTCCTGACTTGATTAATCCGTTTGTATTAAGATGGCGTCCGAATGAATAATGATCTATACCAGTGGTGTATTCCTTTGCGTGGCATCCATTTACGATTGGCGCGACTGCTCCATCTATCAATCAAAATAGCTATTTCTCTTTCTCGTTTCCACCATTACTTGTTATACTGTTGTGTGATATAAGTAGTCATTCATCGTCTGAAGTGGAATACAGAGTGTCGCCCATTGTACACAGGGGAGAAAAACCGGCGACCTAATCATTTTCTCTCCAAACAAACAAATCACTTTATAACAACATTTACTTTTTCTTTAATTTGCCATCGTTAGGAAATAAGAGATACGCTGTTTATTTATATATCTATTTATTTATCTCGGATTATCCTTATTGTTCTCCCTCTTCTTCTTGTATGTATCATGTCCCTTTAGGATATAGACAGTCATGTCTCTCCACAACTTCCTATCCCTAGAGGCTCTTAGCAGTTTTTTATGCTTTTTGTTAAGGCACTCATCCCGTTCCGTCATCAATTCACATAAGATCGCTCTCTCCTCCCGATTACTCTTAAGCTTAATATTCCCCTTGAAGATTAAATTTACCAAAACCTTCTTCGTTATATAACCAAGGAATTTCATTTGTCTTTTGATTCTGAAAAGTTATTTTTTGTTCTTTTTTTTGAATAAGACAGAGATGTTTTGCTTACGCATCTCGAAAATGGAATTTTCAATATGGGTTTAGAATTTACATATGAACTGCCGCCTAATTTTCTCCTCATCCGTGGATAGAGTGCGCACTGTCCACTACCATATAAAAGGATCTTTAACACATATCAACCCCCCACTCTTTTCTTTGTTTCAAATGACATTTTTCAGCCCCTTACTGAAAATTTGTGGAATGTTTTTTTTCACTAGGATATTCGGTCTGATATTTTCAATCGATAATTCTTTAACAACAACCTTCTAAACATTGTTTCATTTATCATATTTCAGCCGATGCATTCTCCCTCCTTCAGCATTGATATTCAGAGATAAGTCATAATGACTAGTCCCACGAGTAACGTTCTCATGTTTGTGGTTCTTTTGATTACTGTAATCTTTTTTTTTTTTGACGAAGGTTCATCCAATTAAAGGCCCAAGAGCCAGTACATGTACCTTGTTTAATTACTTAATACTCGAGAGTAATGGGAATTCTTGGGTTACGCTTAAGAAATTATTGGGTTATAACATAATCAAAAGGTAATTACCTGGAATATAAGAAAAATGTCAAAATAAAAACTAAATATTTCAATAAATACTATTAAATATAATAAAAAATTATCCGCCATTATTCCGGAAATAATGCTTTCAGATATATATATTATGAATATATATTTAATTGATTCATTTCTAGTCTGATATAAACCTCAAAAAATAGAGTTAATGAAACAGCCGTTTCGTTATAAGAAAAGAGACTCATCAGCAATGTTCCACCACCAAGTATCGAGAAACCCTGACAGTTGGGTTTTCAAGCGAACAACATACCAACTCAAACCAAATGGGCAATTAAAAAGAGATTCTAATCAGACAATTTATGCGCCGCTTGCTCACATATTAAAATTTGGCATCTTGTCAACCAGTCACGATATATATATATATATTTATACAAATATATATATATATATATATATATTTTTGGGATATATATATATATATAATATATATATATAAATATATATTCCAAAATAAAAAAAAAAAAAATTATATATATATATATATATATATAAATTTTACATGTCTTTCTTGATGTTTTCGATAAAGAAGACTTTGGTTTCGCGTGAACTGAAAAGGAGAATCTGCATTGATTACATGGTAAATTTAACCTTTCCGGGCCCTGAGCGCTCTAAAACACAGTGGACCAGACAGTCTTTTCTCCCATAAGTGAGGTCCAGGCAGATGCTTTTCATTAAGACTTTTGAATCGGTAGATGTAAATTTACAAAGCTTAAAAAGCCGGGGTATCTATTCATATGGCTTCAGCTATTAATCAAACACGTCTTCAACAACAATGATCTGAACTAAACAACAAAAATGAGCGGTTTACAATGCTGTTGTGATTTTAACTTTGCTATACGGTGACGAAATTTTGATTCTGTATAGTAACGGCATTCAAAAATTAGAACGGTTTAACCAACAAAAGCAGTTCAATTATAAACAACACAAATGGAAACAACACACACACACAAACACACACAAAACACACACACACACATACAACACACATATATATATATATATATATATATATATATATATATATATACGTAGGATGGCCATTTGTCTGGTGGTGCGTTTTTTTTAAAATCAAACCACTACATATAAAGCAATCGCTTATCGAGAAATGCATTTTTGCCCTTCCTTTCTATCTATCTTCTGTCTGAAAAAATGTCAATAAGCTAAGCAGACACGTATCTCGACTTCACTGAGGAGAACTCTATCTTCAAAACCTGTTTGTCTCGTAAAAAAACTGTCTGTATTAAATTTTAAAGACAAACGTCAATCTTAATTTCTCTGTCTTCCTGTCTTTTATGGGAGATGACAAACACTGTCTGTGACAATCTTTTATATCAATATATCCTCTTTATATATTATATATCTATCTATATATATATATATCTATATATATATATATATATATCTAGCAGCATGGCCCGGCGTTGCCCGTGCTTGATTAAAAATCGTACGACTCATACAGCAATCGCTATCACTTGACTTAAAATATTTTTGCCCTTCCTTGCCTTTAAAGGAGTGCCCTTTGCCGTGCTGATGTTGCTACATGCCTTACTTCTTGCCTATCTCACACTGCGAATTTTTCTAAGCTCTATACTAAACATTAAATCTGTTACGAAAAAAAAGAACTAAACAAAATGAACACAAAACGATCAGCTTTTAAAAAGGACTCGTAACTGGAAAAACCGAATGAAAAAAAAGAATGTTAATAACAAATACTTTTTTCACACCCAACCCAGTTCTGCGGAATCAGAATCAACGTTGAGTTTTTGCAAGCGAATGAGCCAATTGGAGTAAAGTGCCATGCAGATTTAAATTTTTCCCACTTGTGACGAATGCAGCTATCGATTTTTTTTTTGCATGCTAGCATGCTAGTTAACATTCGTGTCAGTCAGCTGTTGGCTTAACGCTGGCCAATAGAATCTTCCTGCCTATTCGTGGCAGCCAGCTATAGGTTCTCACTCTGGCCAGTACAAAATGGCCGCAAACTACATGAAAACTGCCGTAGAAGCATGAAAAATCGATTATTTCCACTATCGATGGGAGTTGGGAAATGCAAAGTCGGTCTTGGACTTTTACTAACTTGGAGCATGTGCATATAAATTTTGGTGCAAAAAAAAAAAAATTAAAGCGTTGCATTCGTTATAACACACACACACATCACACACAAATAATATAGTTATACTATATTTTTAGATATATATTATATATATATATGTTGCATTTTCCCTTAAACCTATATGGATGTTTAGTATTAAAGAAACCTTTAAATATTTTATTTTATAATTGAAACCATTTTATAAAATACCTTTTTTTTGAAACTATATATAAGTTTTTTTTCAAGTGATTTTATAAATATATTTACGTTAACACATTTTTAAAAATGGAAAAGATATATATAAATATAT